AAAGGGCTGGGACTCCTTTCACTCCCTTTGCCTGGTGAATGCATGCCAGGTAATCAAAGCAGCTTTGTGTCATTGGCATGAAAATGATCTGCAAATGTGTTGCATCTCCTAGCTCCTTCCAGTTACCTAGGACAGACTGAAAGGGAATGTATCCTTCTCTTTTACAACAAGAGCAAATTCCAGGGGAGGAGAACAAGCACAGAAATTGAAGTGGAGGGAGAGGGAAAGAACAGCATTAAAGACAGAAGCCATCTTATAATAATGTACTTCTAACACAGATATTTGAGCTTGGCTTAGGGCATGTGCATTACATACTGCTCCTGCTGTGTGGAGGTGCAGGCTCAGCAAATAGACAGGTACTTCTTTTAGCCATTTCCCTCCTATTATGTGCTCATGATCCTTTAAATCTGCCAGTTGCCCGAGCTGCCATTTCCATTTAGAAAGATGCCCATGTATTTCTTGCACAAGTAGTGAGAGGTCCCTCAGGTCCAGTAGCAACTTCATCTTAACTCCACTGCCATCACCTTTCTCCCAAGCATGGTGAAAGTTTCACTGACCCTAAAAGGACTGTGTTATTAGAACACTTCTAGCATAAACTTTGGGTGAGGGCCCAGGAAGCACCCAGGAAGCACCAGGGCTAACTCTAAACCTGAAACCTGCCATATATTAAAAAAAGAAGTAACTCCTCATCTGTATGTTTTGCACATAGGTCATTTAATGTGCTGTATGACATGTAGCAGCACCTGTCTCTCACGAGCATGCCTACTTTCTTTGCTCAAGACTGGCATGTCCTTCTGAAGTTCCAGTGACTTTACCTCTCTCCTCTGCTATAAAAGGAAAATCAAATTCTGAGTTCAGGAAGTGATAATGGAGCTCTGTTTCAGTTTTGGCACGTTATGCAAACATACACTTTTATCAGTGTCTAGTCATAAAGCTGATAAAGTTTTGTAAAAATGAAAGAGTGTATTAAAGGTATCTAGATAGCTGTTTTCCCTAACTGGATGTAAACCCAGTCTCAAATATGTAGTGCTCCTAAGTTGTGAAAGGATTAATTACCATGTTCACCATATTCAGACTACCAAACTTGAAGTCTGTCAGCTCTGAGTTTATAAATTGTAAGTTATGTAGGTGAAGTATAATTTGTGATGTGGTCTGGTTTGTGGAATTACGTTGTCTTATTCATGGAAAGGAATCACACATATCTAGCAGTGAAAGGCTGTGGAAGTTGTTTCTTTGAGGTAGGGGATGATGATAGAAGCAAGCTATTGTAACTGTGTAATGCAGGGATCCGTCTGTATGTTCCATCTGCTGTTTTAAGCATCAGTTGCTCAAAAATAAATGATATAATTGGGCAAATAAGTTGTCTTTACATCAACTGCTCTGTCTTGAAACAATAATTTGCTTGTGTCTCAAGAATATAGGATAATATGCACTTACTCCGTATCTTCCTAATGTCACAGTGACGTAATGCTTATGAAGTGTTTTGCACATAAAAATCACTGCAAATAATGTGTACTTCATGACACATTGCTTGAGACAAGAACAACAAAATTGACCAGGGAATTTTTTGAGGAAACTGTTGTTTGTATAAAGTTGATCTTGCAATGTCATCCGAAGTACCCTATCCTGATGTAACAGTTGTACTGCTTTGGATTCTCACTCAGTTGTTCAAGGTGATTTAGTCATTGATTTGTGTGTCCTTACATTTAGAAAGCGCCAAATGTAATTATTTGCAAAATACTTAGTTCAGTGCTGAGTTCTTCTCTTCTGGAGAGATGCTGTTGGAGAGACCTTAGAGGAGGACAGCAGGAAAAAGGAAAAGGACTAAATACGTGCAGCCTGAAATGCTGAGATAAAAGGACATAGTAGTCCATATGTAGCTGAAACATGTAAGCATGAGAGACGGAGAAGAATTATGTCGAGTTTGGCAGGAGGATGTAGTGAGTAATAGATGGAATGATGAGGGGGAAATAAAATTGGCTGGATGAAGAAAAGCTTCCTGACCACGAGATCTTATTTGATTACTGAAGTTTCCCGGGGGACTTCTGTGATTTGGGAAAAGTTATACAAGACCGTTCAAAGCCCAGCAGTGCTGCACAAAGCATAGTTCTGTAGTCACCTAATGACTTGGCATCCAGGACTGAATAGTGCTTCCCATCTTTTAAATGCGTTTGAAGTTCTTTGGATTCCTTGTATTTGCTGGGCAGCTCTGATCCCTTGTATGCTGGCTGGACTACGGCTTCTCTATTGGTTAGTATTACAGCTCATGAAGAAAACCTGCCTCCTCTGAGCATGTGTGTGAAATGTGTGTACTGTGACTACAGGCCTGATCCTTTTCCTTTGATGCTGAGTACAGGTAACTTCAAAGGCAGTGGATAAGTTAGGTGCAGCTATCCAAAGCAAAGGGACATGATTTCTGGAGATGCATTAGGTGACAGTTTTATATGCCTCCGGGCCAAAATCTTTACAGTGTCTGTATGGATATTATTGAGAGGTGGTGTTGGAGTGGAGCATATTGCAAGTGTAAAGTATTCTGAAAGCCTTATTTAGTTGAACAGTTTATTATGCTTAAACAGTGACTAATAAAATGAGGAAAATTACCACAGTTACTCAAGAACTTTCAGTCTCTGATAAAGCATATGTAGGTATTACAGAGTGTTGGTGTTATCCATACATAGATTTATTTTATTACGGATCTGGAGTTTAGCTAAAGCTGACTCCAGTAGTTCCTCTGAGAGAAGTTTGTTTGATGAATAATTAAGTATGTTCTTTAGCCACTATTCAACCAATTTGCTGAACTCACTTCTGCCCACAGGTTTTTGGAGTGAATTGATGACTGAGAATCCATTTGAATTTTAACTGTTAGGGAAGATGCATGTAAAAGACAAGAAACCCAGATGCAGTGAAGTCCACAAGTCTTTTACAAATTGGGAAGCTCAGTTCATGGTGCAAGGGAAATGGGCTGATGGACAGTTTTCCTGATGGATCTTCTCTGGTTGGCCTTACACTATGTTCCTTGCATTCTAGCAGCTGTCCAAAGCAGTAGAACCCGTCTCCTCAAAGGCACATAGAGATTGCAAAGGATGATGCTGCTTAGAATGAAGCAATGAGATAAATGTTGCTAAGAACTCATTTTTGAAACTGTACGGAATCCAACATCTGCTCTGCTCCCAAGAGCTAACTGGTTGGAAATGTGGAAGCCTTGAATTTTGAAACAAATCACACAGAAATGTGAGTTTCTTCATTTAAATTAATACACTAATAAATCAAAATATCTACTTTTAAGGATACTCCTTATTTGAATTATCTTCTAATTTGAATTTAGTATGTATTATCTCATGGGGGCATGATTAACTCTGTATCAGTAGGTAAATAACTTGTATATCCTGAGATATATCTAATTTCTACTAAAGAAAAAAAAATAAATCATTTAGATCTGGAACACTGATCACAATGCAAGTTTCATTTGCAAAGGATTTATGGAGACTTGAAGTCAGCATTATGTTTTGAATAAATGCACCATTGACCAGTATCAGATTTCCATAGGCTTTATCTTATTTTTTCTAAGCAACTGCTCATAAACCTTTTTAATATCTTGATTAGGATGATGGTGCTATTTGCAAATCTGTTCATAGAGCTATTAATCTATAATATTGCAGTCTAAAGAAAGGAGTCACACTTATTTAGTTGTTCCTTTCATTGTTTCATTTAAAAACATAAATAACAAGTTGACAGGGTTTCTTTGTCCCTTGTTTTGCTTCTTTCTTTTCAACTAACAAGTTAAGTATTTCAAAAGAGGTTTGTTAAGACACCACAAAAGTACGTCCTAGTTCTGATCTGCAATTCATTGAACCCTGCTATGATGTATTAGGAAGGAAAGACAAATAAATGGTAGGTTTGATCAGTTTAAGAATCTGTGACTCAACGGCTACAGCAAAATCTTAGTGCCTTTAATTCCTGTATTATAATAGTACTCAGGTGAAGAGCAGAATCAAACACCATAACATCTGAAGGGAAAGAAATCCCCTGTGTATCACTAGAAATAAATTTGGCTTCTAAGTATGAAGTTCAGTGTGTGGACCCTTCTCCTCCTCTAACTGTCACAGCGGAGCTCAGTCTCAGCCTGAGCTTTGCAAGACAACAAATGCGTTGGACCTAGTGGGGTCAGCAGAGCCTGCTGCTGAACAGTGACAGTCACAAATGTGAAGAGAAAAGCTGAGTCCTGCAGTGACACACTGATGAGAACCATGAAAGCACCGCGAAAGCCTGGCTGGGCTGCACCCAATTCTGTAGGGGGCACCATGACTGCTGTCACTGCTTGCAGCAGTTCTCTCTTGAATTGAGGTACTGAAGCCATGGAGTTTTCCAGGTGACTGTTCACCCTCGCAGCTGAACCAGTTGCCACATGCAGCAAGGAGGGGACTGGCTGCATAGCTTTGGTGGAGAAAAAAAGAAATACACTGAGTGGAAAGCCTCAGAATAAAGGACTGGGGAAATTCCTGTTTTGATGGAGCTACATTTTTGCTGCCAGTTGTTTCCAGCTAACTAGATGCAAAAAATGAACTTACTGGCCTTTGTTTTTTTGTTGCAATCCATATATATCAAGTATGTGTAGTCCAGAGAGAGAGAGGAGACTTGCACGTTCATGTATGTACGATCAAATAAAGGACTGTGTATGCTCTATTACTACTGAAGCTAAAGGGCTGTGCCTTGGGGCTGAGGGCAGTGGAATCTTCTCCCCAAGTGGTGAAGTAACAGCTGGAGTATTTATTCTGTGCTGATGGGACTGGGACCAGGGACTCATGCGTTGCAATAGCTCTCCAGCTCCAGCACTTAATCCCACTCCCTCACAGGTAGCATTACTGGCAAATCACACTGAGCGATGCTATGTAATGCAACAAACAACTGAGTTTCTTTGCTTACCCAAGGCCTCAAAGCACTTCACAAATATTGCTAGAGTTTTCTGGTATCCTGGCAAAATGATTGTCACCTTTCCAGTTTTGCCATGGAGTATGCAGAAGGCATTCAATAGAAACCCAGGAGTTTTGGTTCCTCATCTGTTTTAGACACTAGATACATTGTCTTCATGCACTTTAGTTTTGTGGTCACTGCATATCTGTAGGTGGTCGCTGCGTATCTGTAGGTAAGGGGCAAAGACAATATGCTTGGTTTTCCCTTCTGCATGGTGGGAGCCATAGTCCCTGATGGTCTAAGGTCGTAAAGCATTGATTTCATCGGGACTGCTCTTGCCCTGAAGCACCGTTAGTCAGGTGCTTACATGCATGAATTCCTCTGAAGTGTGTAGGATTAGAACAAAATTCTATGAAAACAGTTTCAGATCCTCAGATGAAGTAAGCTAGAGTAGCCCTGGTGGAGCCCCACTAATTTCCTACTGAGGAGGACTGGTCAAGAGAGTGCCTTTGCCCAGAGTTATTGCAAAAAGGGCTTTTTGAGAAAAACGTGAGATTTGGACTTCCCTTGCATTGTTAAATGTGTTTGTTCAAGAATAAACTTGAAACATAAAGGCACGCATGGTTAGTGTTTAGGAAAACATGTCACGTCCACTGGAGAAATTGTTAAAGAACAATTCATGATCTGTAAGTGTTCTGCAATATCCTAACGTTAAGAAAGACCTGAGGCTATTGGGGGTGTGAGTTACAGCCTTCACTTACTTATCAGAGGTATCACCAGATACTTTAGTGTGTGGCGGGGCATAGGGGTGTACTTTAACTGGATCTTTCCTACCACTTTTGAATGTGTAAGCATTTGTTTTACATTTCAGATATGTACCTGGATTCAAAGACAGTATTCGAGGTGGCTCAGAGAATTCTTAGAGTTTATGTTTATGACAGGTATGTCACTGATTTTTCATCTAAATTATTATATTTATAGTTCAGTAAGCCTTTATAGTTGGATCTACATTCTGCAGCTAGGGATAAATTAATTCCTTGGCTCTCAATTACCATATATCCATTTACAATCTGCTTGATTTTAGATTATTTTTGTTTTTCCTCTCCTAAAACAATAATTTTATTATTTCTCTTGGCAGAGATAGTGCCAAGAACAGAGCTCCAGTGTAGTACCTAAGGCCTTTTTGTTTTCATTTTGTGTGTAAGTACCAAATACCTATAAACATTCTATGTAATAGTTTTAGCTGCTCTGTAAGTATACCTCATTGTATATCTGACACTTAAATGTCACATGTCCCAGATCTGAAGGATGTTACTCATGCCCAGTTTTATATGAACTTGTATTCACCAGAACCTTGGCGAGGGCAGCATACGTAGGGATATTTTATGGTCCTGTACAGCTCCATGATTCATACTGGGTTTCGCCTTAGCGGTACGCCAATAAATTTAGCAGAGCCCCTGTAGTACCTAGTGCTTCGTTTTAGTTTCACCTCGCACCCCTGCTGGTCTGAACCAGACCAGCGAGCACGGGAGGAGGCACCGCGGAGGCCGGGCGGCGCT